ATTGAATTACTGGCGGCTTGTAAGGTAATTTAACACTTAGCACACACACTTTCCACAAGATACTTATGAAAATTTAATTTACTTGACTGGAGAATGACTAATTTTTARTATATTTATATGGACACATAAATACATATAACTACATGTCCAATACATATCAGTTAAATATATTAGAACAATCATACAATTATGGCCCAGATATGATTCCTTCGTGCTTTCTTAAGAAATGTGCCAAATATATATACCAACCCCTAACAAAACTATTTAATTCATCTCTTCGATGCAAGGCTTATTTCCATCCATGTGGAAAAAGTCAGTTATTATTCCTTTGTATAAAAGTGGATTTAGGTCATCTTTTGAAAACTATAGGGGAATAGCAAAGTTGTCTGCAATACCTAAACTTTTTGAAGCCATTATAACAGACGACATAACCTTCCGGATCTCTCCACTAATTTCTTGTTCTCAGCACGGTTGTAAAGGGAAATCTACAATAACTAATTTGCTTGAATTTGTATCACATATATCAACGGGCTTTAGGGAGAATAAGAATACTGATGTTATATACACAGATTTTAGTAAAGCTTTTGATAAAGTAAACCATTCAATTCTTTTGAATAAACTTGGTCTTCTTRGTTTTCAACCAATATTTCTAAAATGAGTTGCTTCTTATCTTAGTAATAGAATTCAACAAGTCATATTTAACGATACTCTTTCCGACATGATCAATGTTCCTTCAGGCGTTCCTCAAGGTAGCAAATCTTGGTCCAATTCTGTTCTTGTTATTTATTAATGACATATCATATGTTGTTAAGTTTTCAAAAGTTTTATTATATGCTAACGATGCAAAACTTTTCAAATCATTCACCTCAAATAGCGAAAGATGTCAGTTGCAAACAGACTTAAACAACCTAGTCTCTGGTGTGTTAGAAATGACATGCCATTGAACCTTAAAAAATGTAAACCGATGTGCTTTTCAAGTAGATCTGTAGACCCTACTTCATGGTGAGGCCTATATTAGAGTATGCTTCCGTGGTATGGAACCCTTGTTATCAAGCTCATTCTGAGAAAGTAGAGTCCGTTCAAAAACAATTTTTACTTTTTGCCTTAAATCATTTGCATTGGGATTCCAGTTTAAATCTTCCCCCTTACACTAACCGTTTAAAACTTATATATCTCCCTACACTCGCTAGTCGTAGGGAAATGCTTGGTATAATATTTCTTGTAAAACTCATCAATGGGTCAGTCTGTAGCCCATCACTTTTGTCTGATATTAATTTCAACATCCCCGCTCGCTCTACCAGGCAGTTTAGACCTTTACTTTTGAAATTTTCTAGAACAAATACAAGTACCGTATATGTCATGATTTCAATTCTCATTCCAGCACATTTGATCTACCAGATTCAGTCTTTACCATTAAAAAAATTATTTTATCTACTCTTAACAAGTAACATTTAAAAATTATAAACTTTAATCTAATTCTTAATTTTGGCTGTTGAAATATAGCTGAGCAGCTTAAGATCGCAACGATTTTATGACTCGGCTAACACCGCTCGTTCGTGGATTGCGCCCCTCACGTCGGTTGGGCGGGAGGAGGGTAATCGTTGGGTATATTATTATTATTATAAGAACGTGTGCATTTCAATATTTGACAGATGACATTTGCAGTCTGTCGCGCTCTATGCGTCCCGGAGGCCTTCGTTCGAATATACTATTTATTTAATTGATAGTACCATTTGAAAACATTTTTTATGACGCAAATATACCCATGTAATGTTTGAAATACATACATAATAGAAAAACAACATTGGCGAAAGCCCGAGAATGAACTAGAATGGTTTGCTGGCGATCTTGGGGAAAAACACCGTCATGTTATGCATAGGCACGATTCCTTCCCCACTTTTCGCGCATAAGAGAAACCCTTTCGAATAATTTGGTTTGGGAATGATCTCCCTCAGTCAGGTTTCAGTCCTCTCGTCCACTGGCAACAATTATGCTCCATGGAAAGATTCGGTGTATCCGCACTCCTTTTATATCTCGACAATGATGTTCTCCTGAAGATCGGTGAGCTCTCCGACCCCAACATCTAGCTAAAAGGCATCACAGATATTATAGTCTATAGTATATCTTCTAGAGCATCTGAATAATTGCGCTGCTCACCCACTATGTGGTGAGGAGTTGGGGCGGAGTGTTGGACTTCGGTCACCTGAGTTTGATTGTTCGTCTACCGTCCAGACCTCGGTGGCTGCTGTTATTTTCGCTGTTAGTGTCGCTAGCGCCGCCTTGTCTGAGTCGTGGTACACCGTTTTACAACAGACACAGTGTTTGCACCCTTTGGTTTGTCTGAAGCAGGAGGAGCTTGCTGCTCATCACCTTTCGAGAGAACTTTTACGCTACCTCCGGAGCTCATTCCTTCTGGATGTGCCTAAAATAAAGAGCCCTAACAAAATCCCCAGTCGCTACACTTGGGGAAGAGAATAAGAAACGGTGTTGTCAAAGTAGAAGGCAATCGACCGTCTAGTCATTAACTATGCAGCATCAATAATAGAGTTTGGATGTAAGGAAACATGGACGAAGAAGTATCCGATTTGACAGAACACGATAACTGGATGCATCTTGATATCTGCCATTGAACACTTACAAAGTGAGGGTTGCATGATTTAAATAAAAAAAAACACCCCTTTCTTATCTGCTTGGACGGAAATCTCCTCCTACGATCAAAATCAAGAGATCGTTCCATGATTATGTCGACGACTAGCCGACTAAGAGCATAATAAAACACAAGCAAGTATTTAACATCATCACAGTTTCCGTTCGACTAAATGGAATAGTTTGAGTTAAGCCCCCACCCTTAGCAGACTTGAACTTTACCACTCAAGCGGGTATTAGGAAACCGTTACAGAAACAACAGCAGCACACCTCGAATCAAAGAGACTACTAATTTTTATTTGGTATTCGGTAGGCCATGTTCTCTATTGCCGACCAAGCTAGTGCAGAGATAAAGGGATGTTAAACTTATTCCAGTGTGAGAGTGCGTTTTTTACAACATCTTACTTTGTAGCCATAGAAAAAATCTTGTTTTTGGGTATTTAAATTAAGACACCCAACATTGATTAAGATTAAAAACCATACCCATAACATTTAATGGAGAAAATATTTAAATATATTTTATGGTTTTATGATTTATTAAAACAACTGACTTTTGATCTTTCTTACTTAATAGTGATTTAAACTTGTTAAGTTTCAATGAATAAATATTTCCAGTTTTATCTTTTTCAATTGAAAATTAGTACAACAAAGAATCTCATCATAAAACATTTCATCAAATACATTTAAATTTCGCGTTTCCTTTAATTTTGGGTGAATACTATTTTACAAATAATATATTATAAATTTTTTATAATACATATTAGTCTCATTTCCATCTTGAACATATTGTGCTTTGTACCGTAATCTTTCGAAAATGTTCCATAAAATTTTAGACTCCAACACCTATAAATAAAAAGTACATATCTGGAAAAAGTACATATCTTTTTATTTTCCCCTCGTGCTTTGAACTTTATTTTATATAAACTTTAATAGACTTCTTTAATTTCTAAAGTCTCAATAATTTTTTGACAGATACTGACTAGAGCATCTGTAGTTGAATTTGTTATGTTAGTTAAGTCTTCACCCAAATCACAAGCTTTAGTCACTTCCGGATCTAATGGCAGTGCACCTAAATACGGTACATTCATTTCCGAACACATCGCTGCAGCGCCCCCTGTTTTTGCTGGAAATATCTCAGACGTTTCTCCACAACTACAACGGAATGCAGACATATTCTCTATTACACCCAATATAGGCAAATTCTGTTTCTTGCAAAAATTTATTTCTTTTCGCACATCCAATAAAGAAGCTTCTTGTGGTGTTGTTACTATTAAAGCTTTTAAAGAATCAGGAGCCTCATTATTTCGTAAATATGACACAATACTTAAATGTTCATCTGAAGTTCCAGGTGGTGTATCCAATAATAGCAAATCCAATTTTCCCCAGTCTACTTCACTTAAAAATTGGCGAATCATGCCATTTTTTTTAGGACCCCGCCAAATGATGGCATCGTCTTGTGAACCGAGAAGAAATCCAATTGACATAAGGCATAAATTGTCATCCACACCAACTGGTGACCATCCAGAACCCGACTGGTGTACATTTTCTCCCTCAACACCAAGCAAACGCGGTTGCGATGGGCCACATATATCAACGTCTAAAACTCCAAAATTATGTTCGGGGTATTTGCGGGATAGGTAACGTGATAATAAAGTAGTGACAGTACTTTTGCCAACACCACCTTTCCCAGAAAGGATGAGCAGTTTTTGTTTGACTTCACGCATTGCTTCAGCTACAAGCGCTTTCCCGGGATCTTCAAATTTGGTATTTGGATCACTGCATAATGCTTGATTGGGGCAACCAGCGCAAGCGCTAGATTTGCCTGCATTCTCTGTACCAACTCCCGGACAGTTCTCCGGTTCAGCTTCCATCGTCCCTCCAGCCAGGTTAAATTGTCAATATAAACGTGCTGCTAGTTAGCTGAAAAACTCCCGTGTGCTGTTTTTATTCATCAACCAAGTTTTATAATGAACCAACTAATACGGCTTCCACTTGTTAATTTTAGACCTTAAAAAAATATAGTGCATTTGTGACTAATATAGATCTAGAACAACATAGAGTGGATCTTACAACTTATGTCTAAATCTTTTTAAAGATTATTTATCATTAATTGTTAAATCATTATTACACAAAACCATTGTAACTTAGGGTCTCTACCGGCAATAGATGTTAACTTCTGAATCATCCCACAGTCAATATTGCAAATTGACTCATGACACGACGGAATGTAGAGATTACGAAAAGTTTTTACCGCTACTATTTTTTTTGCTTCAAATTATAACTTAAAAATAATTGGTTTACTAAAATAAAGTGTGATAATGCAAACACTAATCCAATAGTAGCCACTTAAAGCACTAGTCGAACATGCCAATAATAAAATATTTATATAGCAATATTTCTGAGTTGCGTATAGCAATAGAAATTGCTTTAGAAACGTTCCATTACTTTCAAAGGGTTACTTCAGGTGCTGAACACATAGAACACGACTCGACATTGCAGCACGACAGTGAACTGTAAATGGCGTCGTGAATCCTTCTACATGAACATTTGTAAGAAGACAGCGACATTACAATGGCCGGCACATTGTTACACAAGACAACACAGCTGTCCATTTTGCATGTGCACAATTTCGTTGTGGCCTTTCAGTGAAATGAAATTTTAATATTTTGTTCATAGTGAAATTTTGAATGCAAAAAAAAAGTAAATAGGTAAATTTATTTGTTTCAAATTATCAATTGTTATTATAAGGGATAAAACAGAGCTATTTTATGATTTTATTTGTAAAATAACGTCAGGTTTGTTAGAGCTTTGAATAATTTTACATTTTACATATTAGTAACATCACCACTCTTCCTCATCTCTCTACCTACAAGTCTACTGTCATCGGCAAATTTAATAATATATTGAAGTTAGCGAGAGCGACAACTGACGGCCTACAGTCGTGTAGTGGTGCGGCTATCTAAATATCTGTGTCCATAAGACCGTGTGTATTTTAATATTTGACAGCAGTCACTTGCAGTCTTTCGCGCTCTATACGTTCAGCACTTCAGAGTACGTATTGTAGTCATACGAATGGCAGAACAAAATAGAATCGACGTTGAACTGCTGTAACCAACAATACAGCGAAATTCGTAGTTGCCAGAATTGTTCGAGTGACGAACAATATCCTATATATGCTTCCGGGCTGTACCGCAGACATAGTTTAAATTAGAGTGTCATGTAGTAAAGAGATATACACTCGTACAATGAGTTATAAGCATTAAGTTGTTTGAATAAGAGATAAAGAGTATAAAGCCTTTAAATTTTTAATTTCGTTTAACGTTTCAATGTTCGAACTTAATAGTTAGTTGCAAGGTATTATGATTTATCGAGAAATCCGTTATAATTGGTGTCGTGTGTTGAATACAATGCTCGCGACAGACTGCAAACAACATCTGTCAAATATTAAAATACACACGTTCTTATCGACGGACCTATTTTGACAGCTGCACGACTACACAACTGCAGGCCGACAGTTGTCGTTCTCGCTAACTTCAATTTTGTCCTATATTTTCCAACGGCAGTAGGACGACAGTAGAGTTGACAGTAGAATGGAAGATAGAGAGATGTGGTAGAGTGGTGATGCTACTAATATGTAAAATGTAAAATTATTCAAAGCTCAAACAAACCTGACGTTATTTTAAAAATAAAAGCATAAAATGGCACTGTTACATCATTTATAATAACAATTGATAATTTAAAACAAATAAATTTACCTATTTACTTATTTTTTGCATTCAAAGTTTCATTGAAGTGCAAGGTATTAGTATGGCCACAACGAAATTGTGTACATGCAAAATGGACAACTGCGTTGTTYTGTGTACATGCCGGCCATTGTTATGTTGCTGCCCTCTCACAAACGTTCTTGTAGTAGGATTCACAACGCTGTTTTCAGTTCACTGTCGTGCTGCTGCAGTCTGTCGCTAGCATTGTGTTCCACACATCAGTGAGGAATTGGTGAATAAACTCCCATGGATATAAATCAAAAATTGCTAAGTTTAACGATTAGTGTTTTTTTTTTAAATTGGAATTAGATGGGTACGCAAATATAAACACAGTGGTAAGAGCAGGATGCACAATTATCGCAAACGGCTCTGCAAATAACACAGGTGTTAGTACAACACTCCCAATTGTCCTTACATTAGAAACTCGGTTGCAAGGATAATGGGATGCCCAACTTATTCCAGTGTGAGAACGCCTCAAAATAAGCGTTTTTTATAACATTGTCCATTATGGCCAAATCGCACCAAATAAGAATTTTTGGACATTTTAAATTAAAATACCCAACATTTATTACGATTGTAAATTATTATATATTGGACTTTTAATATATGGCGAAACTACCTTTTAATGAATTTATGGTATATAAAAACAAGATAATGAGATCCCCAACTCCTCTCTCACTGGAAGTGAGAGTTCAATTGTTAAACGCCAAAACCTACTGAACTTTGACAGTTGACTGGATTGAGTAGGTTTCGACGTTTTGCAATTGGAATGGCTGGAACGGCCAAATTGAAATTATACCAAAAATATATGTGAACGGAGGAATTTTTTGCCGCCGTTCATGATCGCTAATCAAAATTTAAAATAATGAAAACCAAAGAAAATGCGAAATTTAAATATATATTATGAAACGTTTTGGAATTTGATGCGTAATAGAATTAATTTTTTATTACAAATGATTAAAAACATTTCAATTTAGAACTAACAGGCTTAATTCACCTTATTAAGTATTGAAATATCGAAGTCAGTTGTTTTAATATACCATAAAATCATAAAAAGGGAATTAAGTAGTTTCGCCGTATATTAAAAGTCCAATATATAATAATTGCAATCGTAATAAATGTTAGGTGTTTTAATTTAATTGCCCAAACATTTTTATTTTGTTCAGTCTGGCCATAATGGAAAATGTTATAAAAAACGCTTATTTTGAGGCGCTCTCACACTGGAATAAGTTGGGCATCCCATTATCCCTTTGTCCCCTAGGAGGTCCGCGACGCCAGAGCATCTTGACGCGGTAAGGTCACAGTTACTCCCCAATTCGGCCCGGTGTTGGGGAGACTCCGTTAGAATACAGCCGAATTTACCTCCTGGCTGCAAACCATCCAATGGGCACGGGAGTCGCATAACAATATATAGTAGTATAGTATAGTAAATATTTTTATACTATGATATTTTTATATATTTTTACATGAGTTGTTGTTGTTTGGTTTTTTCGTTATATTTTAATGATTGTTATCGTTTTGTTGTTTTATGTAAATAAATTTATGAATGGGTGATATTGGCCTAAAGGGGGCACGATTCCGATTACTTTGGCAGAGGGGTAAAAAAATGAATTTCCGTATAAATGAGATTTATGCTGATAGGGGAGCTTCTCCAGAGGAGGAATATCCAAAAATAATACTATATAAAAATAACTTATATTTTTTAAAGTATTCACTTAGCACATTCATCGTTAAATAGGTTAGATTGTTTACAATTATGAGGAAAACGAGCGTTGCCACATCTTAAACAGCAAATATGTAGAATTTTTAACGATTTTGCTTTGTTTGTTTTTTGCGTGATCCTTTTTTGCTATATATGTAATAAAAAATACTTTCCAACAATTTTCAAGTTATAATATTGAGTTGTGAACACTTTTTCCATATACATATATGTATGTATGTATAATATGCGATTTATGAATAATAAACATAAATAAGTAAAAATCTAATATAATATATAACATAAATGTATATCATATCGAGGTGACTGAAGTACTTTCGCGTAGTACTCCTTTCTGTGTTGGCGGCCTTCGACCGGCCTTTAAAAAAATAATCCTGGTCGACATCTGTAGTTGCATTGTTGATTGCATTAATCGGATCTGCAGCGGAGATATTACAAATCATTTCAAACTACGAGTCGAGTAATTATGAAACCTTTGATGAGTGTGGTGATCACATAAAGCAGATCTTTCAATTCAAAATCGTCGCCAGGAAGACAATATGTCTCTGCAGTAGTTGCTTTTTTTTACAGGTATTGAGTGATTAACTCACTAAAACTTATGCTTACTTAGCACATTCCAAAATTCGATGGGATCTGGTTAATAAAGAAGTAAGGGCAAAGTTGCGTACCAAATTACATTGGACTTTCTAGAAAATCAAGGAGTAAAAATTGGCATGGAGAACAGAATTATGACTTATGCAAATATGGAAATGACTAGCTATGGATATTTGATAACAAATACAACGCTCTTCTTCTCATAGAGCCAGTATATTACACAAAAATCAGAAGCAGTTATGTATTTGGGCAGCAATACATGGAGGCAATGCACAGTGGATCCGCTTGTATGGAACAGCGGCCAAAAATACTTTTCTTGACATAGCGGGTTGAAATTCTTTCCAAAAAAAAAAAAAAGATAAGAAATTATAAAAAAATTTGACAAATCAAACGACTATATCCAGTAGTTCCCATAGGAATGATCGAAACAAACTTAATAATTTTTTGTTTTTGATAAAATTGAAATTATTATTTTTTATCTACATTGCAGTTATATTTTTCGAAAAATGTTGTTTTACATATACATACATATCATCAAAAATCCAATATAAAAAACAATAAAAGAAAAATTAAGGAAACAAAAATTATATACAATCATCTAGTAATTCATAAACAGATTTCAACAAAATCGACTTGTCTCTGTCCTGTTATAAAGGGATCTGAGCGCAACAATAGTGCACTAATGATATCTGTGTTTGTTAAAGTACGCGACACTTTCCGACTGTGCTGAAGTCTAGATTTTTTAATTCCTTGTTATTGGACTCTGCAGCTTCTTCCGAAAGCTCTCCAATCGACACTAATGCATGCTCTATCACAGCAGAACCATGTATTAAAACCTTGTGAACGGTTGCCGGCAAATAGTACCATGGATAAGCAGTTATCAGATCTTTAGCTGTATCCAGCGCGTAGAGTTTAAATTTCTCCGCATTAATTTTATACCCAGATGCCATGGCTTGCAATAATGTAGCATACCTATGAATCAAACATTCATCAGTTCCTGTGATTTCGGAACTCAAGGCTGCATTAGAAAAGAATTTTCTTGCGATATTTCYATCGTTGGCCGATCCTCTACCTCCATCTCTAGGTTTGTCCACTATTATAYCCATTTTTTCGCGAAATTCCGTCTGAA